AACTCATGCACGCACACACATACACTTTCGTTGACAACGCAAACACGCACAGTATACCGTGTATACTCACCTAAACTTACCAACACACAAACATACTGAAGATATACCCACATAACACTCGCATACACACTGACACACAAGTCCGTGTTATGCCCATATACATTTAGTAAGACAAAAACACTACAGCGTTAACCTGATACACACACACACACCATCTTTGGCGCTTATAATCGCACTGACTTACAGATACACACACACACTACTTTTGTCTCTTATAATCTCAATCTTTTACACACACATACACACATACACACATAGTCACTTATAATCTCAAACACACACATACAAACAGACACTACCTTATAATCTCATGGACTTACACACACACACATACACACACATACACTACATGAGTCACTTATAACTTTAGGGATTTACACACATTGTCCCACTCCATGGCTAACACACACACAGACACACCGAAACACACAACAACTAGGCCAGCACTTTATACCCTCATCAATGTAATAAATAAATGAGTGAGGAGATTTCTAGTTTAAAAAAAGCTATGTAATTAATTATCCTACTTACTCTCGTATGATATTGTTAATATCCTTGTTAGCTTGCCTGAAGACATTGATGTAGATAAGTCAAAGCACTGCCACCATTATATAATCCAAATAAAATAAATGAACGTATGTTTTAGTGAAAGAGTGACAGTATTACAAATTACCTTTATATATGTCAGATATCCTATGTAATCCTGTGAAATAAAACACACTTCCGCGAATTATCTTTCTTATTGATTTTTTTCCAAGTGATTAAAAATGTCTAAACTAATCTGAAAATATATCCATATAATTAAAAAATAAATTATGAATTTTATATTTAACTTGTAAATAATACATGTTAAATATCAGTAAACTATAAAAAATGTAAACCTTACAAAGATACAACTAATAAATGAATTATTCTGAATGTTTTAACACAAATTGTACACATCCATCAAAATCCATCAATATTAAAAGTGCTTTTTCTACTGTAAGAAGTTAGTCTTAAACTTTGAAAAATTCAATAGTAGCAAATAATCTTCCTTTAATCCAGAGCACATTTTAAGAAAATATCATAGCCAATAATCCTCAAGTAATTAATAGAACAATTTGTTTTTAAGAAAAACGAATAGTTATAAATAGCATTATAATACGGTCTTTATTTAGATTATATGAAATAACTTAATAAATGGTATTACAAAAAAAAACAGTATCACTATGTTGCACGAAAGTAGCATTATAATAAAATAATAATTTTAATTTTATAGTTTATAAAGCACAACGAAGTAAAATGCTGAAAATATATCCAGCACTAGCAATTGATTTTAAAGTAATCCACAGTTCTTAAAAACACAGCAAAATAAAACGTTTAAAAACACCCAACACTTGCAATAAATCTTTACGTAATCCAACCTGATTAGTATGATAACAGAAGAGATCTCCGAATAATAAATCCAATAGTTCTTCTTGTAATCCACAAAAATTGAGAAAAATATTGAAACTTCACTTTACAATCAGCAGCCTCTATAAGAAACTATGACCATCACAAGAAAACGAGCCAGATTTATATAGTAGTCGGCCTCTGATCGCTATCTTCTAAAGCTGACGTTATTAATTCTAACACCTCCATGCCTATAAGAACACAGCATTGTGTTTCAGTTTGTTCTTATATGCGTCTTGCTTATGATGGGACCGCAGTTTCAATCCAACTAAAACCGTCCTTACATGCATGAGTTTGAGATTGGAATAATCTCCCAACCCACTTTCTTCCACCGAAATTCGGGAAGTGTTCGTGCTGTCTTTGTTAGGCTTTACATTACCTGACGCTTCGTTTCTTTGTGAATAGCCCGCCATTCCGCTTTTAATTCTAAAGCCATTTCTTTTATCCACAATGACTTTATTTTTTATTCCGTATTTTTTTTTTATCATCTAACGATCGCGCTTTTTTTAATCCTTTTTTTTTAAAATTCTCTTTAAATAGCGTGTCTGCATGTGTGACGTAACGCTAGCCCGCCGTGTCTTTGTATTGTGCAGATGTTAGCCCTAGTGGGCTTGTGGTTACGCTTGTGGTTACGCTTGTGGTTAGCCACGCTGGTAAAGTGTCGGTGCTTGTGGTTACGCTTGGCCTAACAAAGGCGCTAAACTGCGGTTGACTGTGAACTAGCATAAAGCAGCTAAACATGATATAACCTATTTGCACGCTTGATGGGTATCTATAACTCATGTTAGGGAAAGTAAAGGCGGCTGGGCAAAAAGCTGACCACACCTTCTCTTTATAAGCCGAGGTCAAGAAACATGCGCAATGCGTAGCTAGGTCTAAAGAGGATTTTTTTACTCATTATTTTTACACGCTTGGTTAATTAAATATTTAATCTTGTAATTTTATATGAGAATATAAATCTCAGTCTGTATACATATATCCATTACTTGAAACGTTTGGAAAATAAAAGTAACACAAGATTTAACCTAAAGTAGTTTAATTTATCAACGTTAATATTTTTCCAGTGATAGCGTAGTAGCTTCCCCTGTTGTGAAACATTGAAAAGCTTTGTTCGTGAAACTGTAAGCTTTAAAGTGTAATTCTATTTACTGACTCAAGTTATATTTATTTTTTCACTAGAAAAAAAGGAAAATGCAACCCCTGAAGCAGTGGCGGAAGTATATAGAAAAAAGGCTCGCCTGCAAAATACACTTTTTGGGGATTTTTAACTGTAGTTTGCGTATTGACAGTTGGCAGTTGTTTCATATTTTCTTGGGATTTATTTATTTACTTATTTATTTATTTAAAAAAAAATTTCAATATTTCGGATTTTTCCGTTGTATTGAGTAATGTTTTTGAAGCAACATAAAAAAAAAAACAATTACATTTTAATATTGTGCTACTTTAGCTTTATTTTAGACCACAAGGTACTACGTACAGAAACAGGGAAAGAAAACAGGTATTGTATTGTTTGGCCTCAACAGGTGAGTATACGTCTTTTTTAGAACATAGTTTAAATTATTGAACCGGCAAGTTATGTCCCTTTCCGTCCGAGCAAGTTACGTCCCTTTTTGACGGTGCAAGTCAAGACCCTTTTTAATAGAAACGAGTCATGTCCTTTTGAATAATGAAGTCCTGTCCCTTTTTTGACGGAGCAAGTTATGTCAGGTCACTTTTTGACCGAGCAAATTATGTCCCTATTTGACGGAGCAAATTATGTCCCTATTTGACGGAGCAAGTTATGCCCCTTTTTGACGGAGCAAGTTATGTCCCTATTTGACGGAGCAAGTTATGTCCCTTTTTGACGAAGCAAGTTATGTCCCTTTCTGACGGAGCATGGCATGTCCCTTTTTGACCGGCAAGTCATGTTATTTTACGACCAATCAACTCATTTCATTTCTAACCAACCAAGCCAAGTTACATTCTGTTAAAACACTTCTTTTATCGTAGGAAATAATAACAAATAATAACAAACCTTATCTAAACTAATCTTGCTGATTCGCCTTGAGATGTTTAAACACGTAATTTATTTACAAACAATAAACAAAATTAATTATTCTAAACTGACGTCGATTAGCAAGATATTGACTTCACTGTGCAGGGAAACTCCCACCCTAACCCCCACCCCCGTGTGGACCCCGGGGATCTGGTACGTGGCCAGTAAGAATAGGGTCCACTGCTGTCTGCTTGCATGTCGTAAGAGGCGACTAAAAGCAGCCCTCGTCTTTACTCCTGTCTTTTCTGGTATCAGTTGATGCGGTCTGTTTACTTATCTGTTTACTTTGTCCCTTGAAGTTGTTTGTTGGTATTTTGTTTTGATAGCCTTGGTCCTTGAAGTTGTTCTTTGGTATTTTGTATTGGTAGCCTTGGTCCTTGAAGTTGTACATTTTGGTATATATAGTTAGCCTTGCTCATTGAGTTATTGATTTCTCTACTGCTGGTAGTCTTAGTCCTTTAAGCTTTGCTTTTGGTATAGTACGGGTAACCATGTTCTTTTAGTCATTGCATTGGTAGTATCGGACTTGAAGTTGTGCTTATGGTATTGTAAAGGTGGTCTTTGGTGTGTGAGTGTGTGTGAGGGGGGGGGGGGGGGTTCATCGAGTTTCAGAATCCACCGTGAGCCCCATACTTTTCCGCAACGTTCGCTGTAAAATTATTTATTAGTCATTACTCATTAAGGCTTACTCATTAACAGGTGTGAGAACATTGTAGGATATAACCATTGTTTCTTCATACTAAAACTTTAAATCTAAGCTGAAATAAAGATTTGAACTTATTATAAACCATTATAACATCTGTTTAACAAAGTTTTCATGTATTTTCAGTGAACTGACGTTTCATTAGAGAATCGACCTTTACATCCCAGCCGGTCTTTACAGCTCAGATCAACAATAAGACACACATCTCTATCCAGGTCAGGTTGCTTATTTTTTTATGTGCCATCTTATACGAGTTTTGATTTAATCAACAGCTTGCTATATATATAATAATCACACGAAATAGAGGCATCGGCTACATGTCTACTGGCATCGACTTATAAATTATTCATTGATCGCTAACAATAGAGAAAAGTCAAGTGATCGGAATTTTTTTCAGACAGACATACATTTAGTTTTTTTTTCCCCAGGCATTACTTCAAAGTGGGAGGGACTGCTCCTCCCTCACCCCCACCCCAACCCCCACTGGAGCACGTACACCGCCCTCGTTCTCGTCCTCCCTGAAAAATAGTTTATATAGAAAATATATTTTTTATCCCCTTCCCCCCCCCCCTCCCCGGGCAAATTTTCGAGTGGAATTTCAAGAGCTCCTCGCCCCCTACGAGAAATATATATTTAAAAAAACCTACTAGTTATCTTAAATATAGTTTACTTTGATTGTTTCTAATATATTCAAGTAGAACTTCTTGAGGTGATTGTATGTTTTTATTACAGCACAGCGGTAGCAGACTTCACACAGACATTATTCTACCAATGGAATCTTTACCAATCTTCAGTGGTGCCAACATGTCCAACATCACCGGATCCAAACACCTTGATGGCGGTCACGTGGACACCGCGTGCGATCTACCGGTGAACGTGTTCACCGCCGTTGACCTCTTTCTCAACGGGGTCATCATGACCGTCCTCTGCACCTTAGGAACTATCGGCAGCGGCGCCATCTTGTTGACCTACTCTCGCTACGGGTTCAGAGATTCCTCTACCGTGGCTCTTAGCGGTCTGGCCTTATCGGATCTGTTCTTCTCGCTCTTTCAAAGCGCCTTGCAGGTCCTCCACGTTTACGAAACGATCAACCTCGGTGTTACTGTATACAGCTCCTACTCCATCTTCCCATGGAATCAATTTTCTCTAACTATCAGTATGTTAATCGTAGCGACCCTTGCTTTTTTTAACATCGCCGCCGTGATGAAAGGGAAAAGACTCAGCAAAATGATGAAACCTTTCCGAATGTTTCTGATGGTGGTCGGTGTCTTCGGTGCCATGGTTCTGTTTCTACTTCCCCTGCAAGTTCTGGCAGCGTTGGATATACTCCCACTCAATATAAGGAGTTCAGCTCGGGATATCTGCAAGAACAGCGATTTGATAAACCGCATCTACATGCAGGTGTCTTTACTTGTCGGCCTGTCTTACCTACCCGTCTTAGTGATGATTACTTGCAGCGTCATGATCGTTGTTAAACTCGTCTTAAAGAAAAGAAGAAACACAACTTGTTACGACGATGTGGAAGAAAATCAAGAAATTTTAAATTTTAAAATCCTCCTAATTCTCTGCCTCACCACAACAATTTTGGTTGTTTCCCCTGCTATGGTGTTCGAGGTTATGTACCCTTATCTCATACACCGTTTCTCTTGCCGACTAATTCGCCTGTGTATTACCATCCTGCAGATTAGCTTTCAAGCAAATGCTTCCAATCGATTTCTCATCTACGTGTCGTTGAATCCAAAGTTCAAATCGGTTTTTGATAATCGTTTCCGTAGGTTTAGAAACAACCATGACGGTGCTTTAATCCATTAAGGAATTAGTTTAATGCAGGGTTTTAGAATCAAGTAGTATAAATCTTTAGAATAGCTTTAAGTGTTAAGTGTATCATCTAAAATCACCATCATCTATCAGGAAATAGGTAAGTTGCCTTCAGAAAACAGAAGGATTGTATAACAATGCATGCGATATCTTACAGACTTAAGAATGGTTACAGCCTGTAAATAACAAGGATACTGACATAGAACCGTACACAATCATCTTTACAGTCTTATCTATATCGAAAAATAACTCTTGCCATTTGTACTAATCTAAGTATAAACCAAAACATAATTAGATTTAACTTTTAATCTAGTAACCAAGAGCCCATTCAACACTAATGCATCTGCAACTATAATAGATCAAACATTATACTCCTAAGTTAAACTTAATTTTATTCTGAAAAATAATGAACCATGATGCAAAAACCTTGAAACTGTAGAAATGATTTACAGTGTAACTTGCTATGGGAGAACAGTCCAGAGACATCATCAAACTGCACCAAGAAAGCATCGTGTATAATGTGTTAAGAATGCTTATCGATTGCAAAGGGAAGCTGTCACATATTTACAAGTTAGGAAGAACAGTGGGCATATTTCTATTCGTATTGGGCGGGGGTGGAGGGAATTGGCCGCTGGTGTTGAGGGTATGGGTTTCTGGTGTGGAGGGAATAAGTTGCTGGTGTGGAGGGAATAAGTAGCTGGCGTGGAGGGAATAAGTTGCTGGTGTGGAGGGAATAAGTAGCTGGCGTGGAGGGAATAAGTTGCTGGTGTGGAGGGAATAAGTAGCTGGCGTGGAGGGAATAAGTTGCTGGTGTGGAGGGAATAAGTAGCTGGCGTGGAGGGAATAAGTTGCTGGTGTGGAGGGAATAAGTTGCTGGTGTGGAGGGAATAAGTTGCTGGTGTGGAGGGAATAAGTAGCTGGCGTGGAGGGAATAAGTTGCTGGTGTTGAGGGAATAAGTTGCTGGTGTGGAGGGAATAAGTCGCTGGTGTGGAGGGAATAAGTAGCTGGCGTGGAGGGAATAAGTTGCTGGTGTGGAGGGAATGAGGTGCTGGTGTGGAGGGAATAAGTTGCTGGTGTTGAGGGAATAAGTATCTGGTGTGGAGGGAATCTTTCGATGGCGTGTAAGGAATGAGTCGCTGAAATGGTGTGAATGAGGCCCCCCAGATCTGGAGACGCATAACGACTTCAGATTTGAGCGTGCGCAGAATTTGTTAAGGATATGTGTTTAAAGGAGGGGAGAGGGGAGTCATATGATCAAACTGGGAATGCTAAATTTACAAATTATTTATAGTTAAAAATACAATAAATCGATGTATTTATCATTTAACTAATAATCAACAAAACAAAGGCCATTTTCAGTGTTCCAATATTTCGCCTTACAGTTTAATAATGAATTTAAGCTAATTAAGTCTGATTATGTTTTAGTGAAGTAAAGATTGGTTGACATTCACCAATTTCAAATTCTGCAAACGCTCAAGTCTGTGAGGCTAATCACGATTCATCTAGCTAGATTTCTACGTTTCGCTGTCTTTTTCACCACTATTTTCATTTAGGAACACAATTATACATTAACATGTGTATTGAATATATTATATAACACCGTGGGGTGGTAGTGGTGTATTTAAATGCGTTTGTTATATGGTTTTTTTTTTAGTATAGAGCAATTTCATAACTTTAATTTTAATTTATATTATTTCGGTAGGGCGGGGGGGGGGGGGGGTAAATGGGTAGGTCGTATGTATGGCCTGTGATATTAAAACACGCTCGTGTCATAGTGCAGATGGAGTAGAGTTCATATGATTTTCTTACCAAAGTATATAACAAGAATTGTGTGTCTAACCGTGTTTGCCTTACCTAGTCAAGCTACCTTTTACTGAATGTTTGTCCAATAGTCGCCCTACTCAATCAAGCACAAGAACTCGAGACTTGTGTGTTTGTACACATGTGCTCTACCACACTATGGGTTCCAGCCAGTGCCGGCGCCAGGTTATTTAGCGCCTTAGGCAAAACTTACCAAAAGCGCTCTTCCCCCCGCAATTTTTTTCGTGCGTAGCGACCCTTCCCGGCGCCCGGGGACAAACTTTCGATTTGCACCCCCCTCAAACTTTCAATTTGATTTTCCAACCCATTTTGGCGCCCCCCCCCCTACGTACAGCGCCCTAGGCCAGAGGCGTAGCGACCCTTCCCGGCGCCCGGGGACATGCTTCCAATTTGGCGCCCCCTCGAGAGCAAATTTTCGATTTGCACCCCCCCCTCGAACTTTTCATTTGCACCCCCTTCTCAAATTTTCGATTTGCACCCCCCCTCGAACTTTTCATTTGCACCCCCCCCCTCAAACTTTCGATTTGCACCCCCCCTCGAACTTTTCATTTGCACCCCCCCTCAAACTTTCAATTTGGCGCCCCCCCTAAGGTCGGCGCCCGGGGACATATGTCCCCCCCGCCCCCCCCCCTCGCTACGCTACTGCCCTAGGCGACCGCCTAGTTCGCCTTATAGGTAGCGCCGGCCCTGATTCCAGCACTCCCCAGCATACCCCCCCCCCCCCCACCATGTTTACTTATTTGTATAGTAATTAGAAACAGCAACATTTTTTTTTAAATATTATTTTACAAAAGTTTTATGAGGTTCATGTGTGATTTAAAAAATACCATTTCGCGACTCCAGAATTAGATTATCTTACTACCAATGTTTTAAAGATTCAAACGCTGATGTTATTAAATCCATCGGGACATCATGGCAATGTCGTGACCATATCACTTTAAAATACAAATTCTAAAAATATATATTTTTTAATAATTTTTTTAAAGCTTTATAAATATATAGAAGAGGAAAACCTATTAAACGAACGGCATACAAATGAAAAATTATAAATATAAATTAATTGATGACTAGGTGGGTAGTTTAAGCACGGCACTTGAGGCAATGAAAATTTTCTAGCTTAGAACATATAAATTGTTACCCTATCACGAATTCCTAGATTTTTGTTTGTATTTTAGTGATACAAGATCAATGTCGTTTGATGAAGTACGAAGAGATTGTTTGTTTTTAGAAAAAAAGTAGTATAAATACACGATTACCGCCCTTGACAAAGTGTATGTAAACCGAGTATAATTTAATTGAAAAATTGTGTCTATTCATGTTCAGAGTTTCTTCCAGGATTCTCTTCGGGGGAGCTCTATCCCCCCTCGAAGAAAGTCTACCGCCCCTCCCCCCGAACGAAATGGAATTTATGTAGAAAATTATACTTTTAACAGTGTCCGCCCCCCGGAAATTTCAAGTGCACCCCCGGAGAAAAAAGTCTGGAAGAAACACTGTTCATGTTTATTAACATACATATTTATGGAGTTAAAACTAAATGTGTTACTCATATATTCATTGCATATATCTTTATTTGAAGTTTATGACACTGTATTTTCTAGAGAAAACAGTTTAGCATTAATTTATTGACGGGATGGAGTGGTCGGGCAGCACAGCATACTACAGCTAATCCGATAGTCTCAAGTTCTGATTCCAGAGAAGTAAAGACGGCTGGGTATAGTGCTGACCACAATATATACCCAGTGGCGTAGCGATGGGGGGCAGGGGGAGACATATGTCCCCGGGCGCCGACTTTAGGGGGCGTCAAAATGGGTTGGATAAAGGAAACGAAAATTTTAGCGGGGGGGGGGTGGGGGGTGCAAATCGAAAGTTTAAGGGGGGGGGGGGGTGCAAATCAAAAATTTGAGGGAGGGGATGCAAAATCGAAAGTTTGTCCCCGGGCTCCGGGAAGGGTCGCTACGCCTCTGTATATACCCGAAGGTCACAGAAACAGGTGAACTCTTCTTCGTGAACTGCCAGACTCGAAAGGTTAACTCTTGCAAATCTTCGTACAATATTTTTAAAATAACTATTTATAAGTTATAAACATTATATCATGCATCGTTCAGCAATATACCGAGTCTAATGTTATATTGTTTAAAAACAGTATGAGGTTTAAACAAGTAGAGGTATATTTCACCAATTCATACATTCAGTGTTGTATTTTTTAAATGTTGTCATAAGCACTTTTTACCAGTGACAAAAATGTATTCAGAGATTGAGATGGAAAACCAAATCTCTAACATGAATCATGCTAATTATTTTCAAAAAGTTCATTTATCATTTTGATTATTACATATATGTTTTATAGAACGAAATTTGTTATACACAAATATGTGTACATGTGAATTGAATTGTTATAACCGAAAACGCTATTTCAAATTAATTAAATGTAATAAACGGCACGTAAAAAATGTTTCTGTGCTTTGTTATTTTAATCAACTGGTAGGGTTAGTGTTAGTGTTAGCAGTAGATATAGTGCTGTTGTTGGTGTTAGTGTTGATGTTCGTGTTGGTGATGGTGACGGCGTTTGTTTTAGTGTTAGCGTTAGTGTTTGTGGTAAATTAGTTGTTGTTGTTGGTGGTGTTAGTGTTATAGTTGTTATGGTTAGTTTTAATGTCAGTGTTAGTGTTAGTTTTATTGTTAGTGTTAGTTTTAATGTCAGTGTTGCTAGTGATAGTTTTAATGTCAGTGTTGTTAGTGTAAGTGTTAATCTCAGTGTTGTTAGTGTTAGTTTTAATGTCAGTGTTGTTAGTGTTAGTTTTAATGTCAGTGTTGTTGGTGTTAGTTTTAATGTCAGTGTTAGTGTTAGTTTTATTGTTAGTGTTGTTAGTGTTAGTTTTAATGCCAGTGTTGTTAGTGTTAGTTTTAATGTCAGTGTTAGTGTTAGTTTTAATGTCAGTGTTAGTGTTAGTTTTATTGTTAGTGTTGTTAGTGTTAGTTTTAATGTCAGTGTTGTTAGTGTTAGTTTTATTGTCAGTGTTAGTGTTAGTTTTATTGTTAGTGTTAGTTTTAATGTCAGTGTTGTTGGTGTTAGTTTTAATGTTAGTGTTAGTGTTAGTTTTATTGTTAGTGTTAGTTTTATTGTTAGTGTTAGTGTTAGTTTTAATGTCAGTGTTGCTAGTGTTAGTTTTAA